GGGGGGACGGAGGCAGGCCTGGGGGGGCGGCCAGGCTCCGGGCAGGAGGCAGGCCCGGGGGAGGGTGCCAGGCCTTGAGGGGGGACGGAGGCAGGCCTGGGGGGGCGGCTAGGCTCTGGGCAGGAGGCAGGCCTGGGGGGGAGGTCGGGGAGGGGGGAAGCCTGGGGGAGAGGGCCAGGCCCCGGGGAGGGGCAGCCAGCCGGCGGCGTGGGCGCACACCCGCGTGGCAGCGGCTCTGCCCCCCCTGGAACCTCATCCCACAGTGTCGTCTCTTTAGCGAGGGCTGTGCACGCGCGAGGCCCATTTCTGCTGCCAGGACCCTGGTTGCCACTGGGTGAGCGTCCGAGGGGTCTGGGCAGCCGCTGGGAGGGCAGACCCGGGTCCGCTTGCCGTGGTGCCGCCCAGCCCGCGGCCCTCCAGTTTCCTATGGAACAAGGCAACTTCAGCCCTAGACAGCCTCCTGCCAGGGTGAGTTCAGCCTCTGCAGATGACCAGGGCAGCCACAGCCGGAGCTGTGGCCTAGGCACAAGCCCACGTGTCCCCTGCCTGGGGCCCCAGCCATCTACCCAGCTGGCCACTGCCAGTGGCTGAGCTCCTGTCCCCAGCTCCTGAGCTCCCGTCCCCAGCTCCTGACCCACCTGCTCTCCGTCCTCTCCAGAGCGCCCCCCCCCCCCATGGCTCCTTTCTACTCCAGGATGTCTGGGTCCAGGGCTTCCCTCAGCGCTCTACACTTGCCATTTCCTTGCCAGTCTCCGGCCGTCCTGTTACCCCAGGACGGCTTTCCTGTGTGCCGCCCCGCCGCACCCCACGCCCCTCCTTCACTATAGTGCGGAGGCTGCAGGGCAGGCCCCAGAGCCACAGCCAGGCTTCCACCCCAGCCACACACGTGGGGCCGCTCCCACCAGCACCCGCGAGAGGAGGCCAAGGCCAGCTCCCGGCCTTCCCGTGGTCCAGTCATGTCACGCGTGGACCCGAGTGAACGGGGCTTCATTGTTCACCGTGTGCTCTGTACGAAGGATGCATTTCCCGTCCCCTCTGGGCATCCATCCCCTTGCGCACCGGGCGGCCGCTGTCACAGCCTTGGGCCTGTTAGCTTGCTTGCAATGCGGGGCTGCTGCCCAGAGACGCCCACACCCCAGGCAGCAGATGGGGGGCCTGCGGGGGGGGGGGGCTCTGCAGGCCGCGGGCCATCATGCCCTGCTCCGGGGTGCAGCCAAGTAGGTGCGCAGCCCCAGGGTGCTACCTGCGTCCCTGTAAATTTGCTGAAATGACCAGAGGGGGTTTATGCTACGCACATTACGCCTCGTTAGAGCTGTAAAAAGAACATTGTGTCACATTGTGAAGGGTGACACCGCACGGGGGTGCACAGACACGGCGGGGTGTCCTGGCGCCCGCGTGCTGTGGCCCCAGTACCCCTGAGTCACCACCCAGCCCAGCTAGGGCCCCTCCTTCTCTCCTGGCCCCTCCCAGTGGCCTTCTGGAAGGTTCACCCTGCCTCTGGATGCTCAGCCCTGCCGGCTGCAGCCTCTGTTGCCCTGGAGACCGTGTCTGGGTCTGTGGACCCCGAGGGAGGCAGTAGCCGGGGGACGGGCAGGGGCCAGATGGGGGGGGGCAGAGCCTGCCGCCCGTGGCTTCCTGTGAGGCGCGGGCTAGGCTGGGCTGTTGCGGGACCCCAGCTTCTGGGCAGCTCTCCCGGGCTGCTGCCCAGGGCCCTCGGCTCACAGGCACCTCGCTGGCCCAGTAGCCTCACTCAGCATTTCCAACGTGTTAGCCTTGGGGCTGTGTGGTGGTAAAAGTCAGCCCGGGCAGCTGTGGAGCCTGTGCCCTAGGAGATTGCTGGGGGGGGGTCTGCTTCCCCCCCACTGGGGTGCAGGGCGCCCTCTGTCTGCAGGTGTGCTCGGCTGAAGCCCACTGCAGGTCAGCCTCCGGGGGCTGCTGGCCCTTGAGCAGCCTGGGGCCTGTGGGAGGTTCCTCTGGCACAGGAGAGGTCTGCCCCGGGGGGGGGGGGTAGGACTTCCACTGCTGTGCAGCTGCCCGGCCCGCACGCTCCCCTCTGCAAAGCCCGGCTTGGGGAGGGCGGGAGGAGGGGGACCTCCTCCCCGGTGGTCAGCGACCTCTGTGCCCCGCGCTCCCTGCAGCTGGAGGTAGCCCGGAGTGTGTCTGAGCCGGTGGCGGGTGGCTCTGCCCCGGCCACCTGTGGACTTGAGCACAGGCGTGAGCATGCCCACGTGCTCTCACACCTGAGAGGAAAAGGCAGGAGCCAACGTTAACCACGTATCCAACTTCAAAGCAAACACGGAGTCCAGGCAAGGTTTCAGGGGCTCTGGCGTTCATGGGGCAGGCCGTTCTCAGGGTGTGGAGGAGGCACTGCCGTGCCCAGAGCGCAGTGGTGTGGCGGGTCTGACGGCCCCAGGCGCGCGGCTGTCTCGGCTCCCCCGTGGCGGCTGCAGGTCGGCGCTCCGGCCCTGGAGAGGCTGTACCTTGTCCTGTCTGCTGGACATCCCGGGCCTTGTCTGGGTGGGCTGCCTGCCCACTGCCTTCATAAGCCAAATACCCACCCGTCCTGAGGCCGGGTGGCTGTCCCCGGTGAGGCCCCAGGGGGTTCTGGGAGGTGGAGCCCATTTCCGCAACGCTGCTGCCCGCGTCCTGAGCAGCCCAGGACGTCCACGCCAGCCTCCCACTCAGGCTGGGCCGGGCCCCAGCGCGTGTCGATTCGGAAGGGAAATGTTCAACAATCAGAGAAGTAGATCTCCTCCTCGGGCCTCTGGCAGGCCAACGTGGGCTTGCCTCGGTGAGGAGTGGGCTCAGGACCCCCAAACGCCAACCAACACCTCCAGACCCTCCTAGCCAGCAAGTCTGCAGGAAAAGTGGCCTTGCAGCCTCCGCGGTGGGCGTGTGTGGAGCGCCACCTGGTGGCTGGAGTGCGTGAGCGCAGTCCCCCCCACGCTGGGCCTCCGCCGGGCATTGGCCCTGACCCAGCCCCCCGGCGCTGGGCCGGCCTCTTCTGTGCTGGCTCTCGGGGAAGGCCCCCACGCGGCCTCTGCGTGCCCCTCCTGTCAGCCCTTCACCGCAGACCAGTCCCACGGGGTCACAACCCCATTCGGCCCCACATCCCTGGGCACGGCCAGATGGAGGCACCTTCAGGCTCACCGCAGAAGAGACACCCCAAGGACCTCCCTTCTCCAGGGAGCAGCCTGGGGTGGGGGCCACATTGAAGAATCTTTCAGTTTTACTCTAGAACTTTCACTTGTGCTTTCTAGGCAATTGCTTTACCACTGGAACCAGGCCCCAGGCGTTTTTGCTTGCTTTTTTTGTTGGTTGTGGAGATTGAACTCTGGGCCTGGGCGCTGTCCCTCAGCTCTTCAGCTCAAGGCTCATGCTCTACTCCTTGAGCCACAGCGCCACTTCCAGCTTTTTCTGCTTATGTGGTGCTGAGGAATTGAACCCAGGGCCTCAGGCATGCAAGGCAAGCGCTCTACCACCGAGCCGCCTTCCCAGCCCCATTGAAACTTTTATCTCCAATAAGCCACCAGTGGAGCTGTGACTCCACTAGACTTAAGCAAAAGAGCTGAGGGACAGCCCAGGCCCGAGTTCAAGCCCCACAACCAACAACAAAAATCCTAGCTACTCAGGGGACTGAAATCTGAGGATTTGGATTGAGGTTCAAAGCCAGGCTAGGCAGGAAAGTCTGTGCAACTCATACCTCCAGTTAACCAGCAGAAAGCCAGAAGTGGAGTTATGGCTCATGGGAGCACCAGCCTTGCTAAGGGACTGCGCCCAGGCCCTGCGTTCAAGCTCTAGCACTGGTGCGCACAGCAGCACACATTCACAGGTTTCAGGCGTGGCGTGGCTTCCTTGGCGGGAGGGAGGGGTGGCATCGGCCTGGGCAGCACAGCAGCGCAGGCTCCTCAGGGGCAGGGCCGCACCTCCGCACCCCTCACTCTGTTTTCCACCCCCAGGAGTGGCTGAGCAGATTTGGCTACCTGCCCCCAGCCGACCCCGCCACGGGACAGCTGCAGACACAGGAGGAGCTGTCCAGAGCCATTGCCACCATGCAGCAGTTCGGGGGCCTGCAGGCCACAGGCACGCTGGGTCAGTGCCGCGGGGGGTTGGTGGGGTCCCGGTCCTGCTGCTGGCTGGGCAGAGAGGGAGGGGAGCACACCCTTGGACGCCCGTGAGCCCCTGGCTGGGGAGGGGGCTGAGGCCCAGCTGCTGACCTCTGTCCACCCCACAGATGAGGCCACGCTGGCCCTTATGAAGACCCCACGCTGCTCCCTCCCGGACCTGCCCACCGCAGCCCGGACGCGCAGGAGGCGCCAGACCGCGCCACCCACCAAGTGGAACAAGAGAAACCTGTCCTGGAGGTAGGTGTGGGCAGGCCTGAGCCCTCCATGAGTGCCCGGGACTCTGAGCCGGGGCCTCGCAGGCCTGAGCCTCCGTGAGTGCCCGGGACTCTGAGCCGGGGCCTCGCAGGCCTGAGCC